GCGCTCCACGGTCTCCTGGTTCAGCAACACTTCCCCAGGATCTTACCATCAAGTGTATAAATCTTGCCCTGATGCCTTTCCGAAATGTAGCATCTCACATTAATCTAAATGAAATGCTATCTGGCACTCCTTGGCTCATCTGATCACTGTACTCTGAGCTAACCTTCTTTGCTGACCACTCTGCACCACCAACTTTGGTGTCATCTGCAAACTTACTAACGATACCTCCTATATTCACGTACAAATCATTTATATAAATGATGACAAGCAATGGACCCAGCACGGATCCTTGTGGCACACTGCTGGTCACAGACCTCCAGTCTGAAAAGCAACATTCTACCACCACCCTCTGTCTTCTACCTTCCAGCCAGTTCTGTAGCCAGATGGCTAGTTCTTCCTGTATTCCATGTCATCTGACCTTGCTAACCAGTCTGTGATGAGGAACCTTGTCAAAAGCCTTAATGAAGTCAATGTAGATCATATCCACTGCTTTGCCCTCATCACTCCTCTTCATTACTTTTTCAAAAAACTCAATCAAGTTAGTAAGACACGATTTCCCACACACAAAGCCATGTTGGATATCCTTAATCAGTACTTGCCTTTCCAAGTACTTGTAAATCCTGTCCCTCAGGATTCCCTCCAACAACATGCCCACCACTGATGTCAGGCTCACCAGTCTATAGATAACAAGGTGTAGAGCTGGATGAACACAGCAGGCCAAGCAGCATTAGAGGAGCAGGAAGGCTGATGTTTCAGGCCTCGACCCTGTGTTCATCCAGCTCTACACCTTGTTATCTCAGATTCTCCAGCATCTGCAGTTCCTGCTATCTCTCACCAGTCTATACTTCTCTGGCTTTTCCTTACCATGTTTCTTAAATAGTGGCACCACGTTAGCCAACCTCCAGTCTTCTGGCACCTCACCTGAGCCATCAAGGATACAGATATCTCAGCAAGGGGCCCAGCAACCACTTCCCTAGCTTCCCACAGAGTTCTAGGGTACAGCTGATCAGGTCCCTGGAATTTATCCACCTTTTATCCACCTTGAAGCCATCCAGCACCACTTACTCTGTAATACAGACATTTTCAAGATGTTGTACTTATTTCCCCACATTCTCTGTCTTCCATATCCTTCTCCATGCTAAATACTGATGCAAAATAGTCATTTAGTATCTACCCCATCTCCTGTGGTTGCACACTTAGGCAGCCTTGCTGATCTTTAAGGGACTCTCTTCTCGGCCTAGTTACCCTTTTGTCCTTAATCTATTTGTGGAATCCCTTTGGATTTTCCTTAACCCTATTTGCCAAAACTATCTCATGTGCCGTCGCTGTGAGTTTGAAAGCATTCAATAAGTCAATTTTCACACTACCTTTGCAAAGACAAACAACTTCCATTTTTGAACGGATATAACCATTATCAGCTTATGTTCCTTTGTGGAAGAATCCTGTGCCATTTGTCTGCCGTAGCTACTCCTGTATCTCCAATGGCATTGTCTGTGGAAAGTCAAATAATTTGCTTTCTCTTTACAAATAAAACTAAAGTTTCATGAAATGATGCACTTATACATGGAAATCTTTAAAAAGTCATAAAATGTTAAAACAGTTGTTCAAATACTTGTGATCAAATCTTGAGCAATACACATTTTCAGCGACTTCAATAATGAATGTAAATCCCATATCTGCTAGTAATCACAAAAGAGTACCTGCAACACTGATCAGCTAGCTGTGTAGAATCCTTCACTCTGGTCAGAAAAGCTGCTGGCTCTGTTGGAGGTGTGAGATTGCAATGCACATTACAGTCATTTCTACCTATAACTGATCTCAAATTGAATCATGTGCAGTGGCTGCAAACTTTGTAACAAAATTGCCACGTGCATCATAAATGATATTAACTGCAGAGGCATTTGAATGTCTCAAATAATAAAAAAAAAAATTTGCATTATACATGTTGAGTTGAGGAGCTTAAAATTAGCTCTGTTGAATTTTGATCGAGTCATTGGGGTGATGGAGCAGTTTGAAAGCAAGGATAAAGTATTGCTTGACCAGGAATCACCAACAACTTGCATTTATGTAGTCATTTCAACATTAAACAATGTGTAAAGAATGATTATTTAGAAATGGTTGTGAAATGTTTGGTCAAAGGGTGGGGTTTAAAATTGAAAGGGAGATATGTTATGAAGGTTAAAAACTGAAAGAACTGCGGATGCTGTAAATCAGAAACAAAAACAAAGTTGCTGGAAAAGCTCAGCAGGTCTGGCAGCATCTGATGCTGCCAGACTTGCTGAGCTTTTCCAGCAAGTTACAAAGGTTGTTCATTTATAATTATTTGAGAATTTTGGTTTGGAAGTGGAGGAAAAATGGATTTTAGATTTCCAGTTCTATGAAGATCTGACTTCTTATCAGGTCAAAATCATTTGAACGTTGAGTTCAAAACATTGTTTACAAGAAGTCATGTACTTTCAGTTAAATCACCCGCAAGCCACCTGGGGAAAGAATTGTTAAGGTGTTTGCTGACTTGAGTCTTAAAAAGGGAGCGAAGACACAGGCCAGAAGCAGATTCATACTGGGAAACAAGGCCCATAATGGCAGAGGATCTGTTATTAGCAGTCTCAATGCAGTCAGGACTGGGAAGAAGTCCTCCTGATGTGCTTTGATGTCACTTAGATACCCCCAAAAACCACATAGCTGTAGAGGTGTCAGAGAGGAAAAGCATTGTATAAAGCTCTTGAAGACTTGATTTTTGGGAATGCATGTTAAGTAATGATTGAACTGAATCAGCAGTTAGTCATAATGGTCTCGGGGAGAGACATTAACTGAAGAAAATAATATTTAATGAATTTGAAACAGTTTGCACCAAGGTTACAGCCATGCCATTTAAGCAAGAAGCTCTTCACTGAGATTTGAGTATCTGTAAGGATAAGACTGTGTTAAAAAGGCCAAATCATTCTTTCTGATGGTTGCAATGAAATTGCTTCAATACTTCTCTAGTGTAATTAGTTTTCTTTTGTGTAATAAACGATGATGTCCTTTTGTTAGAAATACATTGGCAGCCTCTTGTGAATAGGTTCAGTGACTGACCTCCGTGGTAAACAAAAAGAGAAGTAAAACTTATGGCCTAAAGAGGCAGGTTGTGCTGTGGGATCTGTGTACAGTATTTTTTTCTCTTTATCCATTCATGGGATGAGGGCATTGCTGGCTAGGCAGCATTTATTGCCCAGAGGGCAGTTAAGAGTCAACCACGCTGTTGTGGGTCCAGAGTCTCTTGTAGGCCAGACCAGGTAAGGATGGCAGTTTCCTTCTCTAAAGGGCATTATTGCCATTTGCTCGGATGATAACGAATGAGGAAGGAACTTCAGAACATGGAGACTTAGTGGCTTAAAACATCGTCTGGTTGTGGTTCATTAGCATTAAGTATACCTTTGGGCGTTTATTGAGATCAACTTCAGGCTTTTACTGCTCTCACCCAGTTGTTCCTATTTTCTAGCGAAACATTCTCCCCATATGTGGACCTAGGGTGGAAATGTTTTTGAACCAAGGTTGGTTTGAAATTTTCTGACCAATTACACTGCGTTTTCCAGTATGCTTGTAAAACGTCAGCTCCTCCAACCTGCATTGATTAACTCGCCAATCCTGATTGAATACATTCTTCCTTTTGTGGTAAATATTCCCGGGGTAATCAGCAATAATTCATTTCAGGCTGTTCTGGTTGGATTGCAAGGTTTGGAAAGTAAGGATTGTTAACTTCATGCTGATTCTTTTTTTCTCTGGAATGATCGCTTCCAGAAAGCCGGTTAGTGAATGATAGAACTAGAACCAATCTTTACACATGTGACATACATTTGTTCATAGAATAATGCTTTGTAAATGTACAACTAGTGATTCAATTGCCGTTTCAGTTTGTGCCTATTTACGATGCAAGTAAACGCCTAGTTAGTTCCTACTGCCTGCTAATAATTAAATACAATCAATTTACACTTAGCCTAGTTTCTGTATTTTATATTTTATGTTTGCTCAATGGTAAACAATCTTGCATTCTAGGCATGTTTTTCAGACTATGTTCTGTTTCCACTCTGTTATTGGGAGAGGGCATCTAACAGTGAGCATGTACACTATTGAATTCAAACACAATGGCTTTTTGCTTTGGGTGAGTCCTGCCTTTGATGACAATTCATACCAAATTGAGCTTCTCAACGATTAAAATGACCTTGTGAATTTTCAATGCATTTTCATGCCAAATATTTTTTGGCATGATTATAATTTTAATTATAAGACATCGGTAACAAAGTGGTTTTGAATAAAGCCAGTAGACATTGAAGAGGCATGATGGAACAAAGACCTTTTTAGACTCAGCATAATACTAATGAGTGCTAAATGTCATAATTCGTACTACTTTCAACAGTTGCTTAAATATGCAGTTACATGTATCGATTTAAACTGATAATTGAAAATATTTTTTTTCTTGGCTCTGTCTATACCATATATGATATGTTAATAACCTCTTCCTGATTGCAGTGCTTTTGTGTAAAGGATTAATCAACATAAAAGCCTCTCTACAATTGATCATGATGTATTATCACATCCCTTTGTTATAATACATGGTTGACTGATTTCTCTTGCACCCCCTGCCAAAATGAACTGTGCACTTCTTATATTTGAATGTATTTGGTGAATATTTCACAATGAACCTAATACTTAGTTGGTTTTAAATCTCAATAATTCATCTTTTCACTCTGGCATTTTTTTAGAGTCTATTTATTGCCTCTAAGAATTGTTGCATTGAAATACAGTGATACCTCTTCACTGCAGACCTTAGCTCAGTTATGGAGGAGAAATAATCTTTTTCATCAGATATACACATAAAACAAAAGAACATTGGAATTCTAAATAAAGTAGCAATCCTCCGGTACCAATTGAAATCATTAATCTACAGTGGGAGTGATATTTTAAGGTACTGCTCAAGTTAATAACCAGCAAATGACTCTTAATTTTTTTTTCTCCCGCAGGATTCCAAACTACCAACATCAATTCGGCAAACTTTGCTGGAGCTGTTTGGACAGATTGAACGAGAGTTCGAAAATTTGTACATTGAAAATTTGGAATGTGAGTATCATCTGCATACAGTTACTTGAATAACAACAGCCACAGCAATTTTATTATTTTTGCATGGGAAATGAGGATTCGCAATCTGTCTCCTTATCTTACAGTGCGAAGAGAAGTCGAAACTTTGAATGATCGTCTGACAGCTGAAGGTCAAACAGTGGATGGGGGAGATTTAAGCAAAGGACAGCTGAAGGCAAAAGGTGAAGAAAATGAAGCCTTTAATTGTGTTCATTAAAAATATTCAGGAATTTAAATGTATGAACTAGTAGAACTTAACATTTCCTACATTTGCAAGTTAATCTTGTAGACCATAGCATGTTGTGCTAGTCATTTTTGAATGTCCTGAATAGCCCATTCTGGACTGCATATTGGAAATGTGGAAAGAGTCCTGTGTTTAATCAGTGGAATGATACCAGCTGTGAGCGAATGTAACTATGATAAGAAAACAATTCTTATCTTCCAGTTTTTTAAAGGTATTTTATGCGCTGACCCATTCTCTGCCACTCTCCTTGGAAAAATATAAGTGCAAAGCGAGAGGTTAAAGAATGATCTTTCTATTAAGGGTTACTATACAGCTGTTCCAGTTCAGTCAATCATTAAGGGGGAATAAACTAATGATATCGAAGATTAAAGCAACAAACTGAAGAATGGGTTTGAAACCCCAATGTAAAATTGATCCCAGCATTGCATAATGGATAAGGATGACAATTTTTGTTGCTGAAGTTATGATAGTGTGCTATTTGCTTGGCTCAGTTTCGTGCACTAAGTTGCGCACAAACATAACTGACTTGCCTTTGAGTGATTTTTCTCACCTATGTATACCATACGTATATAACAAAACAGAATTAGAGAATCCTAAAAGCCAGAAAATGGAATTCAAATCTGAAAATTTAGTGATTTTATTTTTTTTTCTTCCAAATACCTAAAGTTTACCAAATAGTTTAATCACATTCATCAATCTTTCACTTTGCATTTATATTCTTCCAAAGAGAGCAGCGGAGGATGGGTCATCACATGCATTCAAGTTTGTTTTGAACAAATTTTTGATTTACACCGGAGACTAGTGGCATAGTGTAGGTAGGAAAGTGTGGTTAAGACCACTATCCGATCAGTCACCTTCGTGAATGGTAAAGCAGGGTTAATGGGCCAAAAGACCCTTCTCGTTCCTATTTCTTGTGATTTTATATTCTTAATCCCAGATTTATATTCCCTCGTTATTCATAAAACCTTTCAAGCTTTTAGATATCCAGCATTTCCAGTTATCTTTAAAATACCTTTAAAAGTCTGAAAGATGAGAATTGTTTTCTTAATGTAATTATATTGTCCCATGGCTGGTATCATTCCAGTGATTACACATTTCATTTCACTGCAATTTAAATAAGAGGAGAGATGGTGCCGTAGTTGTAATGTTACTGGACTTGTAATCCAGAAGTCCAGGCTAATGCCCAGGGAACATAGTTTCAAATCTCAGCAACGGGTATTAAAGTTTAATTAATAAATCTTGAAGATAAATCAGTCATGGCAACTATTATCAGTTTTTCAAAAAACCCACCTTGTTTACAAAAAAGAATCTCATCACTTCCCTTGACATTCACTGCTAAAGTCTTTTTATTCACGGTGGAATGTGGGTGTCGCTGGCTTAGTCATAGAATCATACAGCACAGAAGCAGATCCTTCAGTCCAACTCTTCCATGCAAACCAAGTTTCCCAGACTAAAACTAGTCCCGTTTGCTCGTATTTGGCCCATATCCCTCCAAATCTTTCCTATTCAAGTACCTGTCTTTTAAATGTAATTGTACCTGCCTCTACCACTTCCTCTGGCAGTTCATTCTACATACGAACCACTGTTCACCTCTGTGTGAAAAAGTTACCCCTCAGTTAGCTTTTAAATCTTTCTCCTCTTACCTTACAAATAAACCCCCTAGTTTTGAACTCCTCCACCCTAGGGAAAAGACCTTTGCTATTCACCTTATTTATGCTCCTGATTTTTATAAACCTCTTTAAGGTCAGCCCTTAACCTCCTACAGTCCAGTGAAAAAACATCTCAGCATATCCCGATAACTCAAGCCCTCCAATTGCAGCAACATCCTGGTAAATCTTTTCTGAACCCTCTCCAATTGAATAATATCCTTCCTATAAGGGTGCAACCAGAACTGTACACAGTACTCCAAAAGTGGCCTCACTAATGTCCTGTACGACCTCAACATGATATCCAAATTCCTGTACTGAATGGTCTGAACAATAAATACAAGCGTGCTAAACAGCTTTAACCACCCTGTCTACTTGTGATGCAAATTTCATAGTTCTACGTACCTGAACCCCTAGGTCTTTTCGTTTGACAACCCAGGGCCCTACCATTAAATGTATAAGTCCCGCCCTTCTTCATTTTACCAAAATGCAATACCTTGCATTTATCCAAATTAAACTCCATCTGCCACTCCTTAGCCCATTGGCCCAGTTGATCAAGATCCCCTTGTAATCTTAGACCTTCTTCATTGTCAACTACACCACCAATTTTGGTGTCATCTGCAAACCTACTAACCATTCCTCCAAAATTCTCATCCAAATCATTTATATAGATGACAAACAAAAATGGACTCAGCAGCGATCCCTATGGAACCCTGGGTTCCCATTTCACAGGCCTCTAGTCAAAAAAATATCCTCCACCGCCATTCTCTGTTTCCTCCTGTCAAGCCAATTTTGTATCCAGTTGGCAAGCTCTCGCTGCATCCCATATGATCTAACTTTACTTATTAGTCAACCACGTGGAACCTTGTCAAAGGCTTTACTGAAGTCCATGTAGGCAATGGCTACTGCTTTGCCTTCATTGATATTTTGGTTATGTCCTCAAAAAACTCAATCAAGTTTGTGAGACCAACATTTAGTGGCTGCCCTAGTTACCCATTGTAGTTGGTTTGGGGATATGGTTACTGTTGACTGGAAATTGAATTGGACCTACCATATGCTGTGGCTTACTAGGCCAAGTTGGAGACTATATTTTCAGCATGGAGCAACTTGCTTTCTGTCTCATCTGTCCATCACCTAGAAGGCACATGACAAGAATGTGATAAAATACTCTCCACTTGCCTGTATGAATGTAGCTCCAACAACACTCAAGCAGCTTGACACCATCCAGGACAAAACAGATTGCTTGATTGGCACCCAGTCCACCATTCCCTTCCTTCACCACCGATATAAAGTGGCAGCAGTGTGTACTGTTTACAAGTTGCACTGCATTGTCACAACATGGCTCCCTAACAACATCTTCCAAACCTGTGACTGCTACCAGCTAGAAGAAACGCAGCAGATGCATGAGAATACTGCCACCTGTATGTTTCACTCCAGACCACACACCATCTTAACTTGGAACAGTATCACTGTTCCTTCAGTGTTATTGGGTTCAAAACCTAAAATTCGCAAGCAACATTGTGGGTGTGCCAGTATCCCAAGGACTGCAGTGGTTCAGGAAGGCAGCTCACCATTATTTTCTCGAGGGCAATTATGGATGGGTGATAAATGCTGGCCCAGATAGCAATGCTTATAATCCCATGAACCAATAAAACAATCATTCTTCAGAGAAGAAAATCTACCACCCTTGTCCAGTCTGACCTATGTGGGACTCCAGACCAATACCAATGTATTGAACTCTTAACTGCTGCCTGATATGGCCTAGCAAGCCACACTGTTCAAGGGCAATTGAGGATGGGCATCAAATGGTAGCTTTGCCAGTGATGTCCACATTGCACGTAGAATTAAAAAGTTCCAACTCACCTGTAATAACATCGGTGCTGGGGCCATTGTTGTTTGTCATTTCTGGGTGGGTTTGCGGGGGTGGCGTTGTGGGATGATGGATAAGGTTTGGCAGAAAGTTCCAGAAAGTTAAGATAGCTGAAAGCTTTGTTCTCAGCGATGAAATGAAGTAATCGGCAGAAGCCTGTTGATGACAGCTTAAAGGGCTTGAGACAGACAAGGCTGGAAAAGGCCATAGTTGCATGTTGAGGTGGAAATTGAATTTTTTTTTAAACTGGTTGCTTGCGTTTTATACTATGAATTAACAATAGATATGACTCCTTTCCATCCCCTATGCAAGAGGATTTTGTTTAGTAAGTGAAGTTATTGTGATGTTAAATGTCTAACTGTCCTCCCTTATGTACGCTGTTTTGACCTAATTATATTGCGTGTTGTTTACAAAAGATGCACTTCAATAGAATAGAATCCCTACAGTCTGGAAACAGGCCTTTCAGCCCAACAAGTCCACACCTAGTCTTAGAGCATCCCATCCAGACCCATCCCCCTATAACCCACCTAATCTACACATCCCTGAACACTATGGGCGATTTAGCATGGCCAATCCACCCGGCCTGCACATCTTTGGACTGTGGGAGGAAACCGGAGTACCCGGAGGAAACCCACGCAGACACGGGGAGAATGTACAAACTCCACACACACAGTCGCCCGAGGGTGGAATCGAACCCGGGTCCCCGGCGCTGTGAGGCAGCAGTGCTAACCACTGAGCCACCGTGCCACCCCACTCGCAATCTCACCCACACCCCTCATGATCACTTTTGCTTTTAAATTTTATTCATCACCATCTTAACAATTGATTTGTATGCATATTTTTAAATCTTGGTAATTTGCACCAGATTTCATCTCTGTAGAGAAAGGTGTTTAAAAAAAGGTAATTCATGTTTTATTTCTTTCTATGAATGTTTGATAGCCATCTCAAGTCTGGTTAAGAACTGGCTCAGTATCTGTCTTGCATGCAATGCTCTATTGTTGACAGAAGTTCTGATTGTATTTGTATAGCCAGTCACAGTACCAGCCAGTTATCTCAAAAACTGAAAACAACCTACAAGGCTTCTACCAGCAAGGTATGTTGTTGAAATGTATTCCAAGCATGCAACAGTTTCTGCCAGAATTAAACAAGTATAATTTAATATTCTATCATAACTTGTTGAAAAAAAGATTTCAGTCAAATGCACTCATTTTATGTGACTTATTTTACTCTGTTGATTTTTCAGTTAATAACACTTAGAATTAAAAAAGTATACGATAATAAATTATTGGAATGAAATGTGATTTAAAAAAATTAATGTCACCATGGCTCGGCTTGTAACATTCTCACCTTGAACCACAAGGTTTGGATTCAAGTCCCATTCCAGATGTTAGGTAGAAAAGTCAAGGGCCATACAGGAGTATTGCTCAATTAGAGGTGCTGTCTGTCAGATGAGATGTTAAACCGAGGTCCCGTTTATTTTCTAAGGTGACTATAAAAGATCCCTGGCTGTAAATAACCCCATTTTACTATTCATTGGCATCATTGCTGATGTCCGGGCAATGTTTATCACTCAATTAATACCAAAGCATAACCTGGCCTTTGTCATCTGTCTGTTTGCAGGAACTTGTGCACAGATTGGCTGCTATATTTCCTACATTGTAATAGAGGAGTCTCTTCAAAAGTTCTTAATTGTTTGTTAAGCACTTTGATCTTTGTGAATGCAAGTAAATGTAGGTCTTTCAGTGAATGCAGGTCTTTTGATTCTTTCTGTCATTAAACTAACAACATTTGTTGGATAAATGTGCTGCAAATTGATCTGGAAATGCTGTAGTCTTACCCTTGTGTGTTCCCAGCAAGCAACAAATCTCAGTTTTTTCTTCCGCTTATGATATAGCGGTCAAACTCTTTCCCAGGCAAAGGAATTGGAACACGCAACTTCAACATGGGAAGTTGGGAGCTATGGGGTGGAGACTCGTGGGTAATTTCTCTTTCAGTGAATCCATATGCATGTTGCATCTAATTGGTAATGGTGATGAAATGTTTGCTACTTAGTAGAATTTGAAATATGTTGTAGAAGATATAACAAAAGTGCTTTTGGATGTATGTCATACATTTTGGAACATGAATAACCTTATGTATGTATGATATATGCTTAACAATAGAGAGTGAACAGATATGAGTGTTGGTTTTGTATTTTTGTAACTGTTTAAAAAAATGTTAACTTAGTGATGAGCATTTAGCATGAACATTTATTAGTCTATGTTCCATATTTTGGGATCAACAGCTTGTTCAATGAATCTCCAATGATATTTGTAGCTGTATTGGATTCTGGAGGGAGAACACTTTCTGTGCTTTGTTTCTGTCCTATTAGCTAGTAAGTCACTGTGGCACATTTCAGATAAAGGTGAATGGGGAGCATTTGACAACAAATGTAAATAAGATTTGCATTTCAGGGTCTTTGAAAGAAGAATGCACTTCAGCACACTTAGTACATCTGAATCATGATGGCATATAATCGACACTGATAGTAAAGGAATTCTCATTATAAATAGCCTTTCAGCCATAATTTTCTTGGGAAAACAGCTTGTTTTTTTACCCTAATTTTCTCATAATTAGGGTCTCTCATTCTTGATATTACCACTGTGAATCTCTTTACCCATTTGTCATGGCCTTCATTTCCTTCCTGATCTCGGGTACCCAAATTGGACAGAATGTACCGTGCCCCAGTCCCAATTCTTGGTTTTACCTCCTGCTCCCTGGACTTTTGAGTCTAACAGCTTAAATCCTGCTGCAGCAATACTTTTATAGGTTGGAGCCTCCTCTTCCTGCTCCTAAATGCCTGAGTGATGAGCAACCCAAAGATAATGATTTCCTCTGAGTGCTTCTGTTATAGTCAGGGTGTTCAACATCTTACATCTTTTTATTTTCTTTCCTTTTAGTTTTTGAAGTTGGGTAATTCATATAGGCCTAAGAGTGCTGCTTTGTTAGGATTCCTTTTAGTTTTTGTCACAGCTTTGTCAACTTAGTCCTCCTCTTGTATACTTAGATCCTAAAATGTCTCTTGCCTTCTCCCTATTCAAGCTTTACATTTAATTTGTATATCCTCTCTTCCTTATCATAGGAAAATTTATCTCCTCTCATTTCATCTGGTGCCTCTCGTTGCCAGCTTCAATATGACTTCCTCAGATGCCGTACAGGCCTTTTCACTGCTTTGCTCAGATGTTTTAAGGGAGCTATGATAGTGTGTTTCAAGCATCAGTCAGTTGCACTTATGAACAACATGAAGGCAAGTTTACATGTTGGTGGAAGGAGCAGGACAAATAAACTTCAAGTAAGCTTTGAAGTGACTGTACTGCCTGTAACTCCCCAGTATTCATCTGAGAAGGATGCATGCTGGATCATAAGCACAATACTTTTGTCATTTGAGAGCAGACAAGGTTCAAGTAAAATTTATGGCCGTTATAGTATCGTACATTCAATGAAAAGGTTTAAAGTGGCCGTTTTTATTTTATTGCCAGGAAAGGTAGGATGGTCACCTTACATAACCTCTGTGCCATTCACCTTGCTTTTGTTTATGGATAGCACCAGTAGTTAAACACATACTGAATTGTTACCTACTTTCACAGAGGACAGCATTGATTTCAAGGAGATGACCATTTACAGTTCAAAGTTTCCCACATTTTATTTCATCTGCCATACTTTTTCTGAAGTAATTTATCTATTTGGCTTTGCAGTTTTGCCGTGCCCTTTTCACAACTTATTTTCTTACTAATCTTCGTGTCATTAGCAAATTTAGCAACTGTGCATTCAGTCCTTCATTCAAGTCATTGCTATAGATTGGAAATGGTTTAGGCCCCAGTACTGACCTTGAGGCTCTGCACTTATTACATTATGCTAACCAGAAAATGATCAAGTTACACCTATGTTCAGTTTCTTAGCCAACCAATGCTGTGTCCATGCTAATATGTTATCCCTATATGATGAGCTCAAACTTTGAAGTGGCACCTTGTCAAAGACTTTTGGAAATCCAGAAGTTACTGTACACTTACAGATTGCCCTTTTCTACATTGCTTAATATTTTCTGAAATTTGTCTTTTTAAAAAAAAATCAAAAACAGTTCACTTTAGCGAAGTCATTTTGACTCTCTGATTTTTTTTTTTAAGTGTCTTCCATAAAGTTTTGAATGATAGATTTTTAATATTTCCCCAATAACAGATATTGGGCAAACTAGCCTGCAGTTTTAAACCCTATCAGTTGCAAGTTCCCCTTCAAGCCAATCACCATCCTGACTTGGAAATGTATCGCCATTCCTTCACTGTCATTGGGTCAAAATCCTGGAGTTCCCTCCTGAATTGCATTGTGGGTAAACCCATAGCAGGTGGACTGCAGTGATTCAAGAAGGCATCTCACCACCATCACCTCGAAGGCAACTAGAGACAGGCACCATGAGTGAATTTTTTTAATAGGTTGGCCTCTTTCTAGCCCCCACAGCTCCCTGAGCCCCAGTCCCAATTCTTGGTTTTACCTCCTGCTCCCTGGACTTTTGAGTCTAACAGCTTAAATCCTGCTGCAGCAATACTTTTATAGGTTGGAGCCTCCTCTTCCTGCTCCTAAATGCCTGAGTGATGAGCAACCCAAAGATAATGATTTCCTCTGAGTGCTTCTGTTATAGTCAGGGTGTTCAACATCTTACATCTTTTTATTTTCTTTCCTTTTAGTTTTTGAAGTTGGGTAATTTTAATGGTTTTGGTAAATGATTAAGAAGGTTTTAAAATTCATGTAAAATGTGAATACCAACAAATTAAAACACTAAACAGACATTATTTTAAGCAACACAACGTGGTTAAAACATTGAACTTGCCACATGGATGAGGAAAATACTGCAAATGCTCCTGTAAAATATGGTTCCTGAGATAGACTAGTTGGACTGAATGGCCTGTTTCAGTGCTGTAAGTTACACAGTAACCATTGCTGTAAAGTTGACACCACTAACATGCTTATGATTGCCCAGGATTTTATCTCGTGCCAGCAATGCTGCTATTTCTATTTTATAAATGTTATGATATTCAGATGCATCTGAGGATGTCTTGTGAAGTAATTTTAGCTTATGGGGTTTGGTTGATAAAGTGGGCTGGCTAGCTGGTTTTTGATGCAGATTGACATCAACAGTATGGGTTCAATTCCTGTACCAGCTGATGTTAGAATGAAAATTTTCTTCTGAAAGTCTCCCCTCACCTGAGATGTAGTGATCCTCAGATTAAACCACCACCAGTTATCTCTCTCTAATGAGACACCAGCTCTGATAAGACTGTGGAAGCTTTACCTTTTACATTTATTCCAAAAATACTTGTTTAATATGTACTGCAAAATCTTATCAGTATATTAATTTTCATCACACGATCCTCATGACCCTTTTGTACATTGATTTTCAAATTCACTATGCGTTGTCCTCTCTGCTACAGAATATGCTTGCAATCAAATATAATGTAATTTGAAAATACATATATGTTTGCTATAAATCATGTTGGATTTATTATATTTGTCAGATTGTAGCTTTTAGAGTATTTTTGCGTTGTTTCTGCATCCATTAAAAAAGTATTCAAAATGGCCTGTCTTGTCTGGATACCTAAATTTTAATTCTTTTTACATTTTATGATAGACTTTATTATGACCATCTTTATTTTGCAAACTGCAATCACAATTTTGAATATTTTGAATAGTGTAGAAGAAACAGGCAATAATTTAAAATAAGTTCTCTTGATGTTCTAAAACACTGTAGTTGTAGTATCGTGAATTTAAATGAGGAAAGAGATTGTAAACAGAGTTTTAAAAACTGGCCTTTCACCTGTGGGATTTAAATGTTAATGTAGCCTGGATGGAACTTGTAGAAGTCTAATTTCCACTTGAGTTCGAATCTCAGCATACTTATGGAGTTGAAAGAGTCATAGAGTTGTACAGCACGGAACATGAATCTGGATAGTAAAGATATAACTGAAGGAAACAGAAGTATCAATTTGATATGGATGCTCGTTTGAGGTGTTGTTCGGGTAACAGTCGCATATAGGTATTCAGTGTTGTTCTAAAAGATATTGT